TTTACATAAAACATTCCTCCCATATATGCTGCTATGTTGTCCTGTTGTGATGAGTTTCTCTGCAGAAGTAATCAGCATGACCTCTTTTCTAAACAATTTACATTGCAATTTCTAACAACTGACTTTGCCACATGTCACTAGCAGTACGTCTCATTCATTTCTAAAACCTATTTTCATTGTTAAAATTCACAAACACTGCACATTATAAACAAAGCCTACTGCCCATGCCAGCTACTGAGGGGGGGCTAGGAAAGAAATCCTTGCAGGACAGTTACTTTTTCTGTAGTTAAACTCTTAATTCAATCTAAAATTCTTTGCTAACGTAGTTACTGTGATGCCACTGAGCTCTTTACAGCCCTGACTCAGCAAAGACCCCAAACTTTGCACTGGCTGCCATAAAGCAAAGCAAACCAAACAGGATTTAATATGTTAAGTATGGAGATTCATTTGAATTGACAGTTTGTTGAATTCATGCTTTTCTGGTTCAATTCTTCAATATACATGGTTTCAAACAGTCATTTAAAAAAAACAAAAAAACACAAACACCAAAACTAACAACACCCCCCCCCATCTCTACTGATGCTTCCTATGCTTTTAACATTCATAAACTCAGCTGGTGTGACTGTAACCTAAAAAGATGTAAAAACTATTACTGTTATATTATAGTTTAAATTTCTCCAACTTGACAAAGATAACAAGACAAGTAATTTTAGACATAAACTGAGAGCGGAGAAACTTAGAAATACATCTGCTCTGTTCAAATACGCACTCACAGTTCACAGCAAACATGAAGACTAAATAAACTGAAGTAGAGCTGAAGTACATTCGTCTGCAGAGGACAGACAAACTTCAACAGGTAAGTTTGCTAGGCATCAAAATGGAACTGCATTGCGACTGTTGGTACAGACGCTGCCTGGGGAAGGGCCACTGTGCGAGGAGATGAGTGTGTGGGTGGAGGACTACCCACCAAACTCAACCATCAGAAAAGCCTCACCAGGACATTCCTGTCTGAAGGGTGATCTCAGGAGTGCTCCAGAAGTGGATGTGCCATCTGACAACCTTCAAACTCCACACACACTCTCCTCCTAACTGACACTAAAACTAATAGCAAAGACGATTATGACGGTGCTTCTTTTCCAGATCAGAAAGTCGATGAGTAACAGCAACAAAACCCAAAGACAATTGATAACACAGGACCATGTCTCTGCAAAACTCGATTCAAAAGATGATCCAGGTTTCTACTGTGGAAAAGATTAACCCTGAAATTTTATTCTTCTGCGATTTTCTCACCACGCAAAGTAAGTATTTGCAACAAATATTAATCTATACGCAGGAGCAAGATCAACGATCACTCAGAGATGCTAAAAGAGCACATAGGAAACAAACCCATTTTCTCACGAAACAAAAACATGACAAATTTTTTAAAGAGACTGGTTCAAACCAAGAAATTGAAAAGCTGATTAGGTCATGAAGTGTTTTTACAGCCTGCAGTGCTGCTAAATTTATTGGCGATCACATCACATTGAGCCAGACAACTTCCATAACACAGACTCACACTTATTGTTTTCTTCCATTTTGATTACTAAAATAAAATTTCTGCCATTTTGGCACAGAAAAGAAACTTGGCAACCTTTAATCACTGACTTTTATCTATCAGGTACAGCTGATTAACCACACTGATCAAATTTATAGTACGTTTTTAAGCAGTGTTTTTTGAGATAACCTACTTGCATTTGAATGTGGTCACACTAAATCAAGTACCAAGCACAATCTGTGAATAAGATCTGTATTATATTTACCAGAGTGTAGAACAAGGCTTCATATCACCTAGAAATTAACGGATTTTAACCGAAATTAACCAAACCACCTTGAGGTTAGATGTCTGTTTTAAGATTTCTGGATTTCAGCAACCTACCTCAAGTCCAAAGCTTAACACTGATATGTTTGTTTTTTCTTTATTTTAATAAGTATTAAGTCACTATTAAGACTCCGAAACAGCTTTATGCTCAAACAAAAAACAACTGAGGGGAGTGAATGACAACTGACTTTAAGTAACTTTTGTACCATTTGACTCTTTTCTTAAACTTCCAATACCTCAGTTTATGCATACTTGTATACAGCAAGTTAGGGATATGCAGAAAAATTTAGAACTATCCCCCAGCTGATAGTGAGAAGCACTATGCATTCATTTGTTACTAACTCCCACTGTGTCTAATGCTTTCACAGGTTTTTTTGTTTGGTTGTTTACTTTGTTTGGAAGCAGAGGTAAAGAGTTTGCTAGTTGGTCACAGAGCGTGCACAGTACCTAAACACAAAGAACGTTTACATACATACAGTTCAATTTGTGGCTAGAGGAAATTACTTAGACTTAAGCTTGTAGCATGGCTACTGCTTTATAGCCTTCACTATGCAAGGGCAACTTCTATTTAACGTCCTTTCATAATTATTGCAAGTGATGCAGAAAGAAAGCTAATCTATGCCGAGTAGGGTAAGAGACTTCATCTGCTGCCTTCAGATCCTGCGTGTATGCAAACAGACCACCGCTTTAGTACCACAGGCTAAACACCCCTTGTTTCTTCTAAACGGAGTTACAAGCAAAGACTGCAAGAAAGGATTGGTTCTGTATCCAGATTATACTCTCCAGCATCAAACAGAGGCTTTGTTTGACTGGAGAAGTTTTTCAGTTCACAGAAGCAGACAAGTAAAAGCATTTTATTTTCAAACTTACTTTTCGTTGTCAAAGATGTTCATTTTATCGTCCTTTTGATGAAGAGTGATCTCAGTATTTCCACCAGATCACCAAATGGGTTACCTAACTTGAAATTTCCCTCATCTATGCATGGAGAAATACTCAGAAAAGCCATACTTTTAAGCACCAGGTAAAACTCCTCACCGGGCATACAGAAGCGTCATAAAAAGAGTTCTGACATCAATAACCTGTTTTAAACTCCCCAATCTTATTTCTTCTCAAAATGTGCTCTTCTATTACCTCCTTTTGGAAACTTCCTGTTTCCATCACAATAAATCCTACAAGCTGGCACATACTGAAATTTCGCTTTCATTCAGTCATACTCAAATATTAGAAGCAGCGCACCAGAACTGTCACCACTCTTCTCA